AAGGTCCAGTTCAGTATAAAAGAAAATTTTCGTCGCCGAATGCTGCTTTCGCTTTTTTCCAAGCGCCTGATAAAAGGAACCGTGATTGTTGTCAATGATATTTTATAAATAATTTGTATTGCATTAATTTGATATTTTATACTGAAGCATAAAAGACGAGTGCGCCAATTACGTTTTAATTGATGGTTTGTGGTGCTTGTTTCACCGATTGAATACTTACTAATCGAATTATACGTTGTTTATAATAAATTGCATTGAAGATCGAAATCCTTTTCGTTTGAGTTGCAGCGTTAAAACTTTAAAATAATAGTCGATAATTAATTGAAAAATTAATGAATATTGAATACCTTGTAAAAGAATATGAAAATTCGCTGTCAAACCAATTAAGAATTGATAACTGTGGTCTTGAATTTTCAAATTCAAATGTTTAATCATTGGCTCGCAAGTGTGTTAATTTTCTATTGAACTTGTCGGAATTTTCAATACCTATCGTTATAATTAATTAAAAACAAATAATTCATTAATTTCTCCAATATATTATAACTTCAGAAATAATAAAGAAATTCTTTAATTCTTTCGAAAAAAATCATGTGATTACAATTGTAATTTACAGAACAGCAATTATTAGGCTATGTATGTATGAAAAAAGTCTGCAAAGACGTGTATACAAATGCATGTGATTCGTGACTCGTAGGTCGTTTTAAAAGCGACTGTAGCTCACCATGTATTCTAATAGAGACAGATTAAGTAAATGTTGCATGGTCTTATTCTCTATTCATTGTTAAATATATTTTACTGGTGTTAATTAAGTTTCTCTGGGAATGCACAGTTGTTTAAAGTTGTGACGATGTACATTGATCACCCTGTTAGCTGTGATTAGTAAAGTTGTAACGCAACTCACCATTACGGTTATTAAGATCATAAAGTGACGTACCACTACGGTCAGTAACGTCGTGAAATGACCAACCTTTATTGTTAATAGCGTCGTGAAACAACGTGCTTTTATGGTTAGTAACGTTGTGAAACAACGAACCTTTACGGTTAGTAACGTTGTGAAGCAACGAACTTTTACGATTAGTAACTTAGTGAAGCAACGAACCTCTACGGTTAGTAACTTAGTGAAGCTACGTACCTTTACGGTTATTAACTTAGTGAAGCAACAAACCTCTACGTAGTGAAGCTAAGTACCATTACGGTTAGTAACGCCAGAAATCCACTTCGATTGTCACCACCGGTAGGAATTTATACCTAAGTCAGGGTAAAATTCTTACAGTGTGCATCCGCTTCATCAGGAAAGGATAAGTTTAAACTTACGAGACCTCGAGCAAAGTTGAAGAAGTTTAAAGCAAGTTAGCAGTGAATAATTCCTGGAGAAGTTCAGTTTCTGGGGCGATTTCCCAGGCAGATCCATCATTAATCTTCATGGCAGCAAGCTCTTGAGACTATGCTTATTCTTCCTTAATTATTATCTCCTTTTTTCTACAAAGTTCCTCTAAAGTTACCCTAACAATATAAGAGTTACCCTAACAATTATTCAAGCTTGGGGTAATCGAGGCTCTAATTACACGCATACATCCCCACGGCGAGAACAATTAAAATTTTCTGGCAGTTGTTGTTTTTTACGGAATTTTATGAAAAATGCGAGCCCTCCAACAGCGACAGTCTTGATGACTTGGCTTACCTAAAAATACCCATTAAACAATGTGTGCTTGGCTTGGGGCCGTGATTGATGACTTCATTACACCTCAACGAGTCCAAAAAGAGAAAAACTACGGGGCTAAATTTTTGAGCGATTTTTAAGGTGATGCGAACGATCCTCAAAAAATCTATGGAAAGTGTGTGACCGCAATGTATCATTACAGCTGTCTTGGTTTATCAGGAAGAAAAGGGTAAGTTAACGTGCATATATTTCATAAAAATATTGATTTAGAAATATTTTTATGAAAAGTTTATTTTGAATTGTTCAAGTATTATTAATTAATTGGGAATTATAATGAATTAATTAAGCGAAGCCACTTAAAAGAGATAAGCTCATGAGCTTTAATAACCAGTAGCCACATCATTTGTAGATTTGAACTTAAATTATATCATAATCGTTGATAGACTTAATACATTTTATAGCAATCTTGACAAAGTCTCACTCATTTTTCTTAGTGTAAAAACCCTCTCACAAAGAGATAACTGCCCATGTTCACTTCGTGGGCGTAGCTACTGGGTGCCCACATCTATCGCGTGGGCGCAAGGCAGACAATCAGGCATCTGCCATTTACGCAGTAATGCATAACCTGAATTTCTGGACAATGACTGCCCGAAATAAATTTCAATCTGTTGGTTTTTACCTTGTTTTCTCGTTTTACCACAATTACCATTCAATGCAGATAAAATATCTTTAATTCCATGCACCACTGATTGAGTTTTTGGTGTGTGATATAATTATAATTGTAAATACGTTTCTTTTCATTAAAAACAATAGATTATATTGCAATTTATGATATACACGAAATAGAAGATGACGTTTTGAAAACGTTTTGTTCGCACAGGAGATAATGGGCGTTCGCGCGCACTATAAACGATGGAAATTTAGGTACCACAACGTAATCGTAACGTCTATTATTTATCTTTATCGTTATCGCTGCGATCCCATGGTGATAACCGCAATTTTCTGAAAGCATCTTTGCTTTTATTGCCTGTGGAGAAAGCGAATGCAGTTTTCCGGGCGCAGGGTTTTTATTAAGACCAAAAAGCGAATACGTTTGCCGTAAATTCTTGCCGGCGTATCGCGGGAAACTCAATCTCCTCGAATGGCGAGACGACGTTCGCAGCGAGAGGAACATTGGCACAGATGTTGACCATCCATGGTCGACAACGTCCGATGATACGGAATGATGTATCATCAGTAGTGATGATGTGTGTTGCGTGATGATGTGTCAAATTGAGTGATGATGTTTCATGCCGTGCGATGATGTGAAATGCCACGCGATGATGTGAAATACCGTTCGATGATGTGACATTATACGAAACGATGGGACATGCTTCGCAATGATTTGTAATGCCACTCGTGAATGTGTCATGCTGCGCGATGCTCTGCCGCACCGTGTACCATGCCGCACCGTGTACTGATACACCATGCCTTGCCATGGCAAGCCGTGGTTTGATGCCATGGCGCACTAACCTCGAAAGGATGGCCTGTGCAGCGAGCGTGTAACGCGCTTACGGCTTCGCCGCTCGAGATGTCGCGCGCGGTTTACCTTGAGGCTCAGGAGATCATCACACAAGTAGCGCACCTGTGTTGGAACAAGTCGAGTGCTGAAACCTCTTTAAAACGAGTATATTCTTATTGTGGCTGGTTTAACTTATGGTTAAACATCAAATATATATGGCTATAATTAAACTTACATCATTCATCTCATACTTTAAAGATCTATATTTTTTTATAATTATGTAAGACAGACGTATGAAATCTAATTAATCAAATTTGAAACTTTGTGCCGTTACCTAGCGAATTTCAACAACATTTGAAATGTAATTCCCTATTTTAACCGGACTAGCAGAGATCGTCTGCAACTAGTCCAATCTTGAAACAAATTTTGATTTTGATTAGGTTTCTCATTGAAAATATCCGTGAAACTCAAGTCTAATACTGTAAAAAACAAGATTGATTTTTTATTGGAGAAAGCATGAATAAAAACAAACAGATAATAGTGAGGGGGCTTTTTATTCGTTAGACTTTCAACAAATAGAGAAGAATATTTATTTAAAATATCTTTAAAATGTGCTGAATTTTATTTATAAACGATCCTTATCAATGTTTCAAACTATTAGATTTGTACAATGACACCCATTTAAACTTTGAAATAAAGAACAACGGGAGAATACAGCAATGAAAATAACGATGCCACATCACGTCCGATATATTTATCTATGGAATCTGTGAAAAATAACAATAAATGAAGGGTATATAATTATATATGTTATGAGATATTAGGAGTTAATTCACGGTTGAACACACAGCAAACTTTGCACTTTCCCTCACTTGATCTTCGTAGAATTCCGCACGGGAATCGCTGGAATGCGTTTGCTGTTGCGCTGCATTTCTCAACTTCTCAGTATTGCTGCCGTGCTACTCTCAGACAAATGAAAGGCTCATATTGTCCAAATAATGAAGCACTTTCTTACCAACAGTACGAGCAGAGAATTACCGTAGTATTGATTCGCATTTGAAGGGCTAAACTAGGTCAGGATGACTCATACAGGAGCAGAAAAGAATTGCTATATAGCGGATGTCTCACACATTTGTTTGAGTGTACAGGAGATATTTAATAAAGGCTTTCGAGTGTCAGCTGAAATATAGCAATGCTTGGGATCAATGCTGGATATAAGGGACTATAGACGTAACGCATTATAAACAAACGTCAATGTCTATAAAAAGAGCAAGGCATTGAAGTACCAGCTTCGCTATGTAATATATAACAAATATTTTAATTTTTCAAGGAAAAGCTGGGAATTGTGTCGTTGATTTTTACATTTCCTTTACTCATAGAAATACTTGTTTGGGTCATCTTAACCCAATTTGGTCCGGCAAAATGGCTGTCAGTGAAAAGTCTTCTTTCAGCTAGTGCTGAGGTATGAACTGTGTCAAGATATGGACAATAGAGCCCACTTGTTTGTATGAGAGTTGTGGTAAAACTTGATATCATTATATTTTTATTCTGGTCAAAAATATAAATGGCAACGTATTAAATGAATTAAATTTCTATAAAAGTTCCCAAACGTTTACAAAAATCGACAAAGGCAGCGAATTGTTTTCGATTTTTCAAACATTTGGTGAATTTTCTCTTGCCTTAGATATCAGGAGTAATTTTTGAAAGCCTACTGTAGATATTTCATGTCCTTTTACAACATCTAAAAGGGAAGAATGTCACTTACTTTCTGCTCCAGGGCTATATTTTTCGTATAAATAAATATATGAACTTCCCACATTGATCTCTTTACAGACTCAAGTAGCCACAGGCAGACGTCCAAGTTCGGTCTAAGTTTGACAGGTCAGTGTAGTTAGTAACTTATTTCCTTTAATAATATTAATATTATTGTTATTTATATGACTATCAAAACTTATATAGACAATTATTTTATATTGGTAACCTATTATATTTAGCATGAGATAGATTTGAATTTTTATAAGCTATATATGTTTGATCATGTTCCAGAACTTGCTAGCGTTTCTTGAGATTAACTAGCAAAAAAAGCATTGAATTTTGAAGCTATCGGCTACATTATATTTTTTACAAACATTGAATGAGTAAATTGTTTAAAAACAATTGTATTAAAATTTTACATCCATATAATTTTGCGTTGAGTGAACTCAGTTTTTTTAACCAGTTCCGAAGTATTTAAAAAATTTGCATACCTACAGCAGTTTAATTTTGAACGAATAAAATTGGCTTATATTTATTTATTCGGCCGAAGCGCCCTTGCCTCATCCCAAGCATTAAAAAGCAATATTGAGCATTAAGCGGGACTAAGGTTATGGACGTCGTGGGTGCTGTAGGTGGGGGGCCTGCGTCACAGTTATGATCAAAAGCGCTGCTCAAATTTCCGCTCCTGAAACTAACGGTGATTGCCTCATAGCTCATCTGCCTCATGGCTCTTCAGCCTCAGACTCATAATGAACTGAAGTAGCATCGCTTTTAAGTTGCTATTTTATATAATAAATTAAAATTTGATTATATCGATAAAGTTAAAAAGTATCGGCATCGTGTGGCCATCTCAAACGATAAATTTAAATGTTATTATGGTAATATAGTGCGTGAAATTACATCGCCCCCACGCCGCCTTGTAGGGCCAATTTGAATATTATTAGCATGTACTCCCGCCAATAACAGAGAAGAATTCGGTCGCTACGTGTACTTAGACCGCTACGTGTACTTAAGCGAGTTTCGATTGTACGACCATATAAGGGCTTGTCGTGTTTGGCTGAGAAACGTGCACGATGAAAAATGAAAGTATAAAAACGATTTGCGCTAATCAATTATATATAAATTATAAAACATAAGGAATATATCAGAACAATTGAAAGAAAAATTAGGAAAATAGTGAAAAGCCATCAGCAAAATGATTAGACCTAAATATCGACGAAGAACTTTTCTTAGAAAAGAAGATGCGAATAAACATACAGTGAATGACGCACGGGATGAGGTTAGATGAGGCGTGATATAGAACTTCTGTGATTAACAGGGAATGGTTTCTTCTTTAAATGAACTCATGGTTATCAATAGCAAGAATACGGTAAAATAAAATTAATTGATTCTTTGATGAGAGACAGCTTGAACGCCTACCAACATGGGGGAGGAGACATCCTTGTGCGAGAAAATTTTTTTCTATAAAAGGCTTAATTTGAAATGATAGTGATCTGTTTAACACAAGTTTTTTGAATGATTAGGATGAAGGTATCATGCTGTGATTGAAGTCATAATTAGTTTCGTCAAAGTATTTCTAAATCCAAATTTCAACTGAACTGTGCATAATTATAAACCATAATTATTCCACAAGACCCTGCTTGAACTAAATTCCAACCATTTAATTTAAGCCCACAATATAAATTGGAGAGAATTCCAAACGAGCAGCAGCGCCATTACTTCAGCATCCAAAGCTAACAATGAACTGTTAGTTTATTGCATGGGAAGCTGCGAGTCATATAATGCAGAACGATTGCTTGTGAATACTTCACTTAATTACCTTAGTTGTGGAATTGTTATAGTAATTACCGTGCACTTGGTGCCGGGGGGCGAGAGAATGCAGATTACGTTGAATTAATAAACTGCAGGGACCACGTACTGCCGGCATCACAGTGATGGAGGACCTGTCGTGAAATATAACGGTGTAAATTGGAATTTGTATCCGACATGTATTTAATTAGGAAACTAGTTTAGTGGCATCCTGCAAAATCCTGTAAAAGCTACACTATATTAGTAATGATTCTATGATTATAGAAGAGGAAGAGTTTCCTATAGTTTTATTGTATCGAAATTAACTTCTGTAATCGAATCAAACAATATTTGTTCACATAGATTGGGTTCTTTCTTTAGAAAATTATTTATAAAATGCTCATATTATAGCTGTATCTTGTATGGCATCTAGCTGTGTTTTTCATACGAGGTTGAAGGGAGACACGGAGTTGAAGTTTTTGTATAGTGCGTATTAAGGAGCTTCAGCGAACACACATTTAATAACTGAAGGTGCTGTTTATTTCTTTACACAAATTCTTGGAAAACTTATGCTGAATTAAAGACTAGAGTTTATATGAAACATGTTTTTAAATAAATAGTTTAAGAATCACTTCCAAATAATAAATTTAAAATAACAAAAATTATTTAATATATTTTATCGCCCGAACTTAGCCGGGAGCTAAGAATGCGCTGCGAATTTATAAAAAGAATTTTAATTCTTTAAATATACCTACATGCGCAAGCAATGAGAAGCCATGAATTTTCAGAATTTCAATAGACACTCACAATAGTGAGCAGAAACTCATTCAAATGGTTACAATCAAAGCTATTTAGTTATTTGATTTCTCCAATCTGCGACTGGAATATTCGAGGTCAATAGATGCTAGACATTTTATTTTTCAATGCACAGGATATTTGTATTCCCATTCACAGGTACCGATGATTTTTGCGTCACTGGATATCAAAATTCTCGTATTTTCCAGGTTTGTACAGATCTTTTTTCACGGTATTTACCTTAATAAATATCGACAGGTTTCTTAGAGTCCACGACTAGCGACAAGGTTCTGAAAGCAAAAATTTAAATTCCTGCCCCGGTTCTTACGAGTCGCGTGAAGTTCGAAGCACTGATCAATTTTCTCTTCTAAGTCAATTCCATCGAAAAAGTATAATAACTTCTTCGTAAACAAAATGTCTTTGGGTGGAAGTTTAGCTTAAGAAAACGTTCGAATTTCCAAAGAAAAATTTGTTTTGGTTCAAAGACCTGTTCAAAATAAAAGAAGTAAATAAAGTAATTGGTATTGATTTACGTAAAAAAATGGACTGCAGTTAGATTTGCATTGTTACATGTTATTGCATAAGTATGTTAGAGCGTAGCAGGATATTTACTGTGAAACAAATATTGTAAATGCCCCGTATGCTAAATAGGGCACTAGCACTACGAAGTAGCACTACGCACTACAAGCCGTAGTGCCGTACTAGTGCGACATGGAACACTACGGTTGGCATGCTAAATGGGGCACTAGCACTATGAAGTAGCACTACGCACTACAAGCCATAGTGCGGCATAGAACACTACGGTTGGTATGCTAAATAGGGCCAAAAGCATAACGCGCACTACAAAAATCTGAAGTGTCCTACACACCGCACTTCGCGACGACACTACGGTATATCTCACCTTGTTTACTTCGTCAGCTATGGATCTGTTTGGCTTACAGCAAAGGCATCATCGCGTAAAAACTTCAGGAACTACATGCCATGAACATAAAAAAGTGTGCCGCTTCAGTGAACAACATGTTATTCTTGTGGCTGACATTTTCCTTGGCGAAACAGATGAACAGCGTAGAAGTAGAAAATACTTTTCTTGTTTTTGATGCCATGTTTTGAATTTTTTTTATGGAGTCATTTGAATTCTTCTGCAAGAACTTTCTATGCTTCTCTCTTTTGTTCGATGTCTTTGGGAAGCGTGGACTTTGAATATATGATGGGAAAGGTGCGCAGACGCATTGCGAATTTCAGCTCACCATCAAAATTTTCACTAGTACTATTATCATCACAATTAGACATTTTACACCAATCTTATGCAAAGAATGAGAATTACTCAGGGAATAATTAATTATTTGAGCACTAACTACCATTCTTCAATAGACTCATAGCGTAGTGCGGCACTATAAAGTACTCTAACAGCGAAGTAGCACTTCAAAGTCTTTCTGCATACGAATCAGTAGTGCGACACTAAGCGACACTAAACATTGTAGAGCTACTTCGAAGTGCTTAGTGTCTGTGACGTATTTAGCATACCAACAGGACACTTCGTAGTGCATAGTGCTACTTCGTAGTGCTAGTGCCCTATTTAGCATACGGGCCTATATGATTTTCTGACTCTTCTGAAAGTCAGTAGAAAAAATATTTTCAGTGAAAAAATGAAGAGAAAAAAGAAACAATGCTTCGAAATAATAATAACATTAAGGTAGCAATTCGTAAAGCCCCAAAGGCTGAATATTTTCTCGATATTCTTGTTCTGATCAGAATTTTCATGCATAAATTAGGTACTTCTGTCAGAGTCCGCAATTATTTGTGGTCTGATGAGATTCATTTTTAGGAACAAATTATCTGGATGGAAAAATTTGGATCAATTCACATAAAAAATTTCATGAATGTTGGAGAACATCGCTTTACATATCGCGATGGTCTCGAACCATGATTAGTACATAGAAAAAACGAATTTCTTCAAAATAATCAAAGAATTCATCACAAAGTTCATGTTATAGGTACGATGAGTTGACGTTCGAAGCGTGGCCACTGGACAGCTCGTTAAATTCGTTGCATAGCTAAATATTCGAGGCAAAATTCTTTTGTCTCCCTGGGTCGGTGTAAAAAAATCTGACATCAAAAGCTGTCTGGTTGGTTAATGAAAGGCCAGTTGATCCTCTGAAAAAATTATCATTCTATATTAATCAAAGAACTCTAATTATTACCTGGGGTGATCCGAAACCTCTCAAAATAATTGGAATAATTGTAAGCTGTAAAAGGATTCGAATAAATTACTAGAGGGTTTTCAATCTATGCAGAAATAGAGTAGTTGCTTGCGTCACTATTACATGAGAATCCTTTTTTCCGGATGACGTGTTGTGGCAGAGGACATTTCAAACATTCCTGACCTGACGTCATAGCATTTTAACAAAAGGAGTGCTCAGCAATTCAAGTCAGTTTTGAAATTTTGAATCTCCTCTCCACGCGATAGAATTAATTTGTTTCCGTGTTTACGTTCTAAGGTCATTTGAAGTTGTTTACAGTCCGTAATATTACACAGAAATTAT